ACTGTTAACTGTCAACTGGCTCAACCGCCATCTATCGACTTTCTCAACCACCAACTGTCAACTGGCTCAACCGTCAACTGTCAACTGGCTTCCTCGCTCTACTATTAACTGGAAACGCGCTCAATCATCAACGGGCTTCCTGGCTGAACCGCCATCTGGCACCTTGCTCAACCGCCAACTCTCAACTTCCTCTGCCGGCGACTGGCAACTTGCTCAACTGTCAACTGTCAACTTGCTAAACTGACAACTGGAAAGTGACAACTGGCAACGTGCTCAACAACCGCCAACTGTTAACTGGCTCAACCCTCAACCGTCGACTTTCTCGACCGCGAACTGACAACTGTCAACTAGCTCAACCACTAACTTACCAGTTTGCTCAACTATCACCTGTCAACCATTAACTCAATCAACTGCCCAATTGTTTAACCGCTAACTGTCAACTGGCAACTGTCAACTGCCAACTAGTAACTGGTAACTGCCAACTGCCAACTGTTAACTATCAACTGGCTAAGCCGCCAACGGTCAAGTGTTTGAACTGCCAACTGCCAACTGTCTCCCTAGTCAAACCATTCACTCTCAACTAGATTACTTACTGAACTGCCCTCTGGCAACTTGCTGAACTATGGACTGGCTTACTGGCTCAACGGTCAACTATCAACTGGTTTACTGGCTGTTGCTTAATCATTAATCGCCAACTGCTAATCGACTTTCCAGCCTAATTACTAATAGCCCTGTTGAATCGCTAATTCAATCAATAGTTCCAAGCTGTAGTATACAACTTCGTAAACTAATATATATAACTAGTCAATATATGAACCCGGGACAGAATCTGTCAACGATATATATAACATAGATGGTTGCATTGACTATGATCCATCTACGCGATATGGGTGGAATTGGAGGGACTGTGATATAACCTCTGTAATGTTAACTCTCTAAACACTATCGAATGAAATTAGCGGACTAAACTGAACCTTTTGCAGGCTCCAGAAGCTGTTGGAATATATGATAAGCCACCCAGGCAGCATTCGATCCTTCAACCCCAAATGTCGCTCGCTTCTGCCCTAGCCAAAGCATATATGCTGCCTCGTTGGATTGTACGTGCTCACCACCAAGACCAGGCAGCAAGCCTTCTGTCCAGGCCTTGATCTGATAGATCGCCCAGCAAGCTTGCATGACGAGATCAGGATAGAGGCAGGTTCCCTGGCCCTGTTGACTACACACCACTTGCGGATTATAACAACGAAAGCACCCGGCATATCGCTGCATCCAGCCTTGAAACTGCTTTCCTTCCTGCTGTGCTCTCTTTTTTGCCTCAAGAAAGTCCTGTCGACGAGGATTCCAACAGTTGATAAAGGAATGCTTTTTCTTGTCGGCAGATGATGATGGTAGGATACGGCAGATCACGCAGGTGCCACGGAGCGCTTGGAGGGAATCCTCATACTGCTGTAATTGCCGGCTCTCCTGCTGGATCTGCTGGATTCGCATCTGAGACCCAATAGTCAGATCGCAGTCGACGTTCTGCTCTGGACTAGGCGAGCTGGTCGTAGTAGGATCAGTCGAAGAAGATTCAGGATTCTCTTGACGGAAGCGACATTGATCACAGAGAGGATCAGGCGCGCTGCAAGCCACTGCAGCCCCATCGAGGAAGGAGCTCATCGCAGCGACTCGACAGTTCGGCTGATCTAAAACAGCATGCATAGCCTGTACATCAGAGGAGATCACATGGCCAGGTCGACCTGACTTGCTAACACTCCAGGATGAAGGGAGTAAGATGATCGAACGACCGCCCTGTTGGTCACGTCCTAAGCGGCCTGCCTCCTGTGTAAAGTCAATGAGACTGGATGGGGCTCCGAGATGAATAACAAGGCGGACTCGCGGGTGATCAATTCCCATCCCAAAGGCAGAAGTGGCAACGATCCAGTTTGGATTTCCATTACGCCACGTCTCGAGGGTTTGCGCCTTCTCTTCGCGGGTCCCAGAACTGGCATGGTAGAAGGGACACTCCAGAATTGTAGCCACTTCCTCCGTAATCGCTTGGGTTTGGCAGTAGAGGATTGCACGCTCTTCAGAGTCAAGTTGGGTGCGCTCTTGCTGGATCCAAGGAATCGCAAACTTGAAGAAGTCCTGATCTATAGGGCAGGAAACTACCTGGTAGGATAGGTCACGGCGAGTGGTGAGGCTACGGATTAATCGTGCCTTAGAGAGTAGCATGGTCTGCTCAAATTCTGCCATCATGATGGGTGGTAGTGTGCCAGTGAGGAAAACCATCTGACACTGAATATCACGTAATGTAGGAAGTAAGGCCATTCGCTTGCGATATGAAGAGGCTGTCAGAGTCAGATGACACTCGTCAAACACGACACGGTCAAGTTGATTGGCAAGCTGGAGCCGGAGAAGAAAGGTTCGGAAGTTGATGTGTACTGCCTGCTCAACGCTCACGAGGATCAGTGGACTCGATCCGAGGTGTCTAGATTCATCCTGCTGATTCCAGATAGTCACCTCAATTCCAGCATTCTGACATCGAAGGAGCATGTCCTGCTTGAGGACCAATAAAGGAAGCACTACCACGGTTGTTCGTGCACCAGGAAGCTGGCAGGGCAGAAGATAGAGTAGGCTCTTGCCCTCGTTTGTTCGAAGAACTGCAACCACTTGACTAGAACCCTGGATGATATACTGCAAGGCTTGTTGCTGATTACTAGTTCGATACTGCGCTTCTGGCCCATACATGCGCTTTAGAATGGTCTGCGCCTGCTCCATAGTCCAGCGCTGTTGACTCTGTCGTGGTTCGTGGCAACGATGAAATCGTTGAACTAGTGTGGACTCAGTTGCCTCACTCCGCACTCGCTTGGAAGAACTCTCGTCCCATTCCCACTCTGTATTGACGTTGGCTGGTTGGGAGGACTGAGTGGATACAGCAGGCAGTCGTCTTTTTAATAAGCTAGATGTAGAGTACTGCGAGGGCTGTTTGATTAATTGATGCCAGATCTCGCTAGCTTGGCGGAATTCTTGAAGACCAGCATCGGTGAGACCGGCTCGAAAATTGACTGTCCCTCCATAGATCTGATTCCCGGTATGAGGTGTATGTGCAGCCTGATAGTGGAATACCGCAGCCATACTGCCACTGTGATCCTCTATAAGGTCATCTTCATTATCAAGAGAATCCTCAATAAACTGTGACGCGAGAGTTCTAAACTTCTTAATGGCAATCCCAACAGTGATCTGGCGCCAGGCTCGAATATGAATCTTCTTACCAAGGATCTGCTCTCCAGTCCGGATCACGGTCTGCGTAAGATGATTATCAGACCAAGGCTTTGTTGTAGAGGCCCAGAGGTAGTCATAGACAGGAATGGATGTGCGAGAATGCGCAGTTTGCACCTTGTGCTGTAGCCACTGTCGGAAGGGCATGATTAAGATGAGAAACTGCGTGACTAACTGTCCTACTTCTGGGAGGAGAAACCGGGCGGGCCATCGAGAGGCATTAGTACGATGACGACTCTTGTGATAATCCAGAATAAAGAGCATTTGACCGTCATGGAGGAAGAGATCGCGAGTATGGAGGAGGGTGTTGCGCCATCGAATTCCTAGGAACTCTGTCCGTCGCGCTTGCTGGCCAGATCCAATGAAGAAGGGGACAAGTAAAGCCTCTAGGAATCGCTGGATAGTTGCTTCGTACTGTTCTACCATCTTCTGCGAGATCCGCCAGGTCTGATCAGCGCCCAACTCCCAAAACGTCGGAAATAGAACTGCATCCTGACTAACTCGACGGAAGAGCCAATCCTGATAGGGTACCACATAAGCATGATTGCGAGAATCTGTGAGAAAGGATGCACCAGCTTGTGTAGCGTCCCAGTTATCCATCAGATTATTGAGATCAAATTGAGGGATCTCGGTAGCTGGCCGTGATGGGCCGGATAAACACAACTCTTGCTCGAAGATGGCCTGGGCGGTAGAGATTCCCTCGCGGATCAGTTGAGAGAGTTCCAACAAGGACAGGCTTACATCTTGGAATGTAATGACTTGGCCCTCCCGATCCCATCGTACTTGAGCAGGGGGGACCTCACTCATTGCAATCTGGAATGCATACAGTCGATTCTCCAGTAGTTCAGCCACGGGTCCTTTGGTATCGTTAAGTAGCCATCGATCGCGGTGTCTAACAATAATATCTCCAAGATCCTGAGTGGGATAGTGCTGTTGTTCTAGGATAGAAAGAGCGAGGATCCAGATCTGACAGTTGTAGATCAGTTGCGAGAGGAAGGAGGTGTAGTTACCAACTGTCATCCACTGTTTCTTAGCTGGCATCCAGAATAAGAGTGCTGCAAAGGAGACCAGGATAGAATCAAAAGCTCGCAAAGGAATTGACTGTTGGATAATCTCAAGGCAGAACATGAGGGTTTGTTCATCCATCTCCTGCTGGAGTCGATGGAGAGCCTCGTCATTATCCGGCTCTGACTCTTGTTGGTGATATAGATTCTCCGCGGCAGTCATTATATCATTCCAGGCAGTCTTCTGACCCTCTGTTGGCTGAAATAAGGAATTAGGAAGGGCTTGGTCATCTATTACTCGACTCCAATAACAGACCAACTTCTGCCAGGTTTGAATGTACCGAGAGCGACTCTGAGGATTCTGGAGAGGCTGGATGGGATTCTGCGAGACCTCTCCTCGCGTAAAGGTATTGAGAAGTCGAGCATTGCGGCGACTTAGCCGTGGGATCTCACCAGCGTGGTTGTGATGCAGCAGCTGTTCGGTCTTTCTCCAGATTCGGTCCACGCTGGCGCAGATGAGATCTAATCTTATCTCATCACGATTGGGAAGTCGATAAAGATCTCCCACAGTTTCTAGATCTAATCCAGTGAGGTGAATGTGAATACCAGTGGTTCGCAACCATGGAGTAATTTCAGAGACATGCTGACTGTCATTCACAGTATATGATACAGAGTTCTGAGTTTGAAATGTACAGTATTCTTGGAGAAGGGTATCCAAGGAAGGCAGATCATTGGTAGTAAAGGCAGGCGCATATCCAGGAGTATTAGTATGTAGATCATGTGAGGTGTGAATAGAGTGAGCAAGTTCCACTGTAAAATACTGGATGTCTTGTTGTTTGGAAAATAGTGTCTGTAGATACACCTGATACCAAGGCATAACACCTTGGGACTTTCGCCATCCATGTTCCTGGTTATAATGCTGTCGTATACAATCAGTATTACGGGATCGATAATCACAGTTCTCAATATGACAGGTAAATCCAGGTATAATTGGAAGACCATTAATCTCAGTAGTACCATCAGAGGGTTGTACTACTGTATCAATTGTCTTAGCAATTAAGGAGAATTCAGGATGTTGCTCAATATGAACTTGCTCGTAGCGTTTTAAATGATGTCGTTTGCGTAAATGTTGTTGGAGACTCTGCTGGGTAAAGCATGATCCATGTTGTTGACAAAGAATTACCCGCCACTCAGGTAACACACGAAGATAGGGAGGGAAAGAGTAAGACTCCTCACTCATTTCTAGAGATTTTGAGTTGAAGTAAGAAGAGGTGGTATTGAGATGTGTAGAAACTTGGTTGTAGTAAAAAATTTACAAAGGAAGAGGATACAACTACGTAAATAAAAAAAATGAGTTGGTGACTATTCTACCCCTGAGACGCTGACCACGCTAAACCAATCTTGCCTAGCTCCCGAAATTTTTGTTAGCAATAACCCTGAGGTGTTCAACACCTCAACGTAAACTATGTATAGTTGAACGTGGGCGTTAGAATGAAACGTTACTAGTGGGCCATTTTTGGTAAGCAGAACTGGCGATGCGGGATGAACCGAACGCGAGGTTAAGGTGCCGGAATGCACGCTCATCAGACACCACAAAAGGTGTTAGTTCATCTAGACAGCCCGACGGTGGCCATGGAAGTCGGAATCCGCTAAGGAGTGTGTAACAACTCACGGGCCGAATGAACTAGCCCTGAAAATGGATGGCGCTCAAGCGTGCTACCCATACCTCGCCGTCGGGGTAGAAACGATGCCCCGACGAGTAGGCAGGCGTGGGGGTCCGTGACGAAGCCTTGGGAGTGATCCCGGGTCGAACGGCCCCTAGTGCAGATCTTGGTGGTAGTAGCAAATACTCAAATGAGAACTTTGAGGACTGAAGTGGGGAAAGGTTCCATGTGAACAGCAGTTGGACATGGGTGAGTCGATCCTAAGACATAGGGTAGTTCCGTTTGAAAGTGCGCCCTCGTGCGCCGTCCGTCGAAAGGGAAGCCGGTTAATATTCCGGCACCTGGATGTGGATTCTCCACGGCAACGTAACTGAACGCGGAGACATCGGCGGGGGTCCTGGGGAAGAGTTCTCTTTTCTTCTTGACAGCCTATCACCCTGAAATCGGTTTGTCCGGAGCTAGGGTTCCAC